TTCTTTTTAATTACCTACCAGATTTGTTTCTTTTAAATTCGAAACATTTTGTTAAAAATAAGGGTTTTTAAACATTTTGATTTATAAATGGTCAAAAGAAACTATCATTTAAGGAAGCCAAAGGACATCCATATTTACGGTACGGCTTTACACATATTCGTATGCCTTATACCCACACTATACTTAACTTATTAACTATTTGTGTTACAAGTATTGGGCAGTATCAGTAACATTGGAAGACTGGGCCGCTTCATATGTACGTATGAATATCACTAAATACTACTTTTTTACATAAAGTATTATTTACAATAGATACATTGCAAAAAGCAACTCAAATAAACCTCAATACTGTCGCTCCAAAGATAGTACACTTTTCTAGTAATTCCAAGTCCTTTAACACGGCTCAAAACAATCTGGGAATCAATTTCTCTTGGAAGACAACTGAAGCGAAATGACAAACAGCTACATTGTTTTCTTGTTCATGAACTTTGGATTTACAAGCTAGTTTTGCATTGTTTCTGTTCAGGATTGCTCACTTACCGTACACCTATTAATTTATAGCGATTTCGACTGGCCGCTTCCGACGGCGACGTGGCGAGCCAGCGATCCCCGCAATTTGATTTCGAATTTATCTCTTCCTCCAACCAGCCTAACAATGTACAGGAACTGCGGAGTGTTTTAATAAAATTCGTAAAATTTTAAGCTCCTCCAACTAACAATGAGTGTTCGCTTCTACGAAATGGTCCGTTTTCGAGATACGAGATATTTCACAAATTATAACCGCTTTTTACATTACGAGTATTTCCGAGAACTCGAATTTTATGAAGGAGTACTCGGAGGAAACAAAGGCATTTATTGTTTCCACAATATATATCGACTTTAACTGCATATATAATGTAGAGTATTCAATTTGAAGGTACATGTAAAGATTGTAAAATGTTACAAACTGTATGTTACATTCCATTCACGGGAAAACCGGGTTCCGGACCTTTGGAAGGCGTACGAGGAGTCAAAGCCAAGTCGCAAAGGCCCGTGGAACAACTTTAATATTAGTGAAATGAAACATCAGCCTGTAATTATCTCTATAAACATCTAAGGATAAAGCTAAGCTGGTTGATGATTTATTGCAATGTGGCAAAATATTATATGATTGCGTATCCTGCGTTTTGTAAGTTTTTTTTTCTGGGTATCATTTAATTCTGTATGTAGATACTAGGTATAAAGTTTAGCTTAACTTACAATTGAATTTTTTGACGCCAAATCTTGGAATGTTTTGCTTATAGTTATACTATATTCATAGTAAATATTTACTAAATCTCTGGCATCAATAAGCATTCTTGTTTATGTTCCTCATCAATTTAAATTGAAAAATAAAATTGCATAAGTACTTACGTCACCACATAAATAACTCCTTGCTTTGACATTTCACAAATTATTAACGTCCAGGTGTAGTTGTAAATAATAAAGCGTCTAGGTTCATGAATAGAAGTCAGTCGGAAATATTCGTTGTCCAAAGGAGTGCCGAACCTAATTGAAGTGCTTTGAAAAGCCATTGAATATAGATTGCAACAAGACGTTTGCATTTCCAAACAAAAGGGAATGTTGAGTAGCATTCATTGAAATATCAAAGTAGATCGTTACTTCTGTTAAAGCACTGACTTTATTGTATAATACAAAATTTACATTGGAAGGGGCCGATGTTAATGACGGGTGAATGTTCCTGCATAATCGCATTTTAGTTATTAGTTCCCTTGGTTTATTGAGGCTTAAAAGAGATGAATGGATATTCCGGTCTCAATCTTCTTGTGAATTATACAGTTTCTTTCTGCCAATGGATTAAATGTTTTTCTATTGTTGAATTACAATAACTATACCAACGGAGAAATCAGTTCTAATTGTACCTATTTTTGTCTTAGAATATTAATGCGTGACACAAGTTGTTTCAGACTTGTGAGTAATCCTAAAACTAAGGCTTTTGCTCAACCAATAGCCTTTCAATTAATTAGTTATTTGGATAATGACGGTAAATGTGTGGATAAAATTAAGACTAAGTTTATAACACAATTTTCAGACCTTCCAATGTATTTTAATAGTATAGAATACATATATAACAATACCTTTGTATACTATTGGATGACTGTATCGAAGCCACATACACACAATATGTTCAATGTGCATACAGGAAATAGCAGATGCGAGGAAACAAGGTGTATTACCATACACACGTGTTTACTATTACAGAATCGACCACAGCGCTGATTTGATGGAATACGCTGCAGCGATACCAACAGGTTGTGTGTCTTCAGCCTCCGATTTAGTGGAACAGTAATTGTTTTTGCTCTCATTTTTAATCCACCTAACACAACGTCTCTATTATCTTGTAGAATGTAAATGTAACTTGTAGTTTTTTTTTTATTTTTATACATTTAAGCCGCTATAGCATTTGACGTTTGACTGGCGTTGACGTTAACATCGCGTTGATTGGCGACAGGTACAATCACGCCATCCTGCTCTATCAAATGTAGTCCTTGGCATACTTGCTGCTAATAAAGGCTCCGTTAACGTTAATGCTTGCCACGCGACGACACGGCGTTAACGTCTGTCAGCGCGCCATCTACGCTGCGCAAACGCGACGTTGACGTCAGCGCTAGTAAAACGTCTAGTGGGACAGCTTACTAGAAAAACAGTGTTTAATGAAAATTGTATGACAAGGGCACTTACCACGAGTCCGTAGAGAACCTCAACTGATATTATAAGAAAAAAACCACGGCTTTAGTCCCTAAAATGATAGGCAGAGGTAGAGCAAAAACAATGTTACAGTCATGTTTCACTATTTCATTCCACATTTATAACTATTTAAACTTTAGCTTTACTTTACATACATTTAAAAATGTTCTTATTTTTAAAATAAGGAAGTTTGTTACTCTCGTCGATCTGGTATTGTCTCGTCGATTCGGACAATATCTGCATAATCTGAAAGCGAAAGACTGCACGGTTGGTGCCGTGGCTGGGCAACTGGCTGCCGCGCTACGTGTCGCGGGTACGATTCCCGCACAGAACAACTCTTTGTGTGATCCATATATTATTGTTCCGGGTAGGTGTGGTGTGCTGTGTTTGTAAACGCACTTACAACACAGGAGAAAATGCTATTGTGGGGCAACGTTTTTTATTTTTTTTAAAACATCGCACACACGTGCTGTACATATTAATTATACGGGGTTTTTTAACTTTTTACGCCTACTTAGTGTTTATTATAATGAGACTAGTAAGATAACTGGAAAAATGGCCTTGTTACCAACATCATAAAATTACAGCCAAAATTATATACAGGTCATTTGTGAATAAATAATTAACTATTTCTTCTATACAAATATGTAACAGTGACTGAGCTTACCTAGAAAGAGCACTTTCAACAAATTTTAAGCTGCGAAACATGTAATAAATACTCGGGAAAATATTTTTTATACATTCAACGTTACAAGGTATTCCAAGTAACGTTCTTTTTGTGATCCAGTCCTCAAAACTACACAAAAAAAGTTACAAACACAAGTTTAAAAAAAGAACCATGGAAGTGTTCTTTACATTCATCGCTATTGGCTGTCTATATAAATGTCGATGTTATTCTCGAAAGAGTACTCGCACCGCTCACCCATTGGTCGAATTTAAATTTCGAACTTACATGAGTTGAAGTTCTAGGGAAAATTTAATGGTTTTGACATTTATAACTATCAGTAATTAACACAATCGCTTGAAAATCCCTAACTAAGTATGCACTACCCCCTTTAAAACTTCGACCCATATGGCGATCAAAGAAGCTGACTCGTAGAGTCAAGCTTAAAATCTTCCGATCTAACGTCAAGTCCGTCTTACTCTATGGGTGCGAAACGTGGAAGGTAACAAAGGATATCACTCACTTAATCCAGGTCTTCGTCAACCGCTGCCTTCGGCAGATACTTGGCATTTTCTGGCCAGAGAAGATCTCGAACGAACGCTTGTGGGAGGCGTGCCGGGAAATGCCAATAGATAAGCAAATTACACGCCGAAAGTGGTCATGGATAGGGCACACCCTCAGGAGAGGTCCCACACACATACCAAGACAAGCTCTGGAGTGGACACCACAAGGCAGGCGAAAAGTTGGCCGTCCTAAGCAAACGTGGCGGCGCACAGTGGCGGCGGAAATAAGGAGGATAGGACTGTCCTGGTCCGAAATTAAGCACATAGCCCAAGATAGGTCCAAATGGAAAAATACTGTGGAAGCCCTCTGCCCCACCTAGGGGATATAGGAACTTAATATATATATATACCCCCTTTAAAACATATACTATATAGATTAATAATAATACCCCTGCCAAAATAGTGGACAAGATAAAACTGAGCGATATTTTATCGACATTAATAAAAAATCGAGGGGTAAATATAACTCGGCATTCAAACTCAAATCGGTGAACGGACTTCGGAACGCCAAAACTTGATAGAAAAGTTGTGGCCACGAGACTAGTTAGTGTGCGTTTGCTCGGCACATGTTGGATGTCTGTGACATGCCCCAAATACTTGGCACAAGGTCGTTTTTGACTACACACAGCGCACACATAGTGTAAAACTATTTTCTCTGAATATATCGATTCACCTCGACTACAAAATGTAGTCGTTCTTTTTTAGGTATGTTTATTTTTAAGACTAGATAAGACTTTCAGATCCCACGTGGGAGTTTAGGGACTATGTTTATGTTTACTTATTTCAGTTACACAACGAGTCTGGATCAACAGAATCTGGGTTTGATGCGAAGTGATTAGGAATGGGTGTTATGCTTTCGGGGCGAACAACATAACTATCATTATTGTGTTTTGGACGACTAACATACGATTTTAATCCAGCGAAAAAAATATTACAGCAGCTCATATTTATCAAGGAATTAAAACAATTAAGACAATTGAAAATGATTTATTTCAACTTTAAATTATGCTTTCATGTTTTCACTTTCTTACAAACAATTATTTTAAATTACTTATCAACATCAGTTCAAATATGAACGCATTTATTTACAAGTTCTTAACTTTCTAACAATTCAGTTTTGGGTTACTTTGATCACAAGTTGTCCCATCTCTAGTAGAGTATTATAAATGTCCAATCACATATTCGCCTATTAAATCAGACGTACTAATATTTACAAAACATCTACTTAATTACGATATAGTAATGACGTCAGCCATTCTGGTCTCGGTTGTGAAGGCTTGTATTCCGAAGGGCTTAAAGCCAGCGGAGACGCAGCATCTGCTAAAGCCACCGAGGACGAAGTCTCAGTTACAGCTATACTTGGTTTTGGTTTCAATATAGATCGCAACTCGTCGTTGTCTGAAGCACGATTTCGTTGCAAATTCTCTCGGGTCTCCTTCATCCTGGAAAGTTGTTCTCTCAAACTTCTGTATTCCTCTAGGAATTTTTCCAGTTGGGAAGCTCGGAAATCGAAATCTTCTATCGGTTGTCCGGTACGCGAGTAATCACGCAATCCGGATAGATCAAGGAGTGGAGTCGCCGAGGGAACTGTCGGCTGCTCTCTTGAAGGCGACGCAGGCAGACTAGGGTTACGACGTATTCTATTTCCGCCCGTAGAAAGATCTAAAAAACTATTTGATCTTCGACCTGACCTTTGTCGATTCTTTTCATACGTTCTATCAAAAAATGTTGCGGAGTCTCCACCGGAACTATTTCTGCGGCTATTCAGAAGAGGACTGCGACTATCGCACTCTTTTTTTCGTGGTATTGTATAAAAGTAGTATGGATCATGTTTCATTTCACTCCGCAGATACGATGACGTTCCCAGAGCACTCATTTCAATAAGGTCCGGATAATTCTTTTCGCTGTCACTACCAGAGAGGTCGTTGTCGAGTCGCTCGCGAGGTCGCATACGTGGACACGTGCGCGCATTGTTGTTAAACCGACTGTTCTCAGATAATATCTCGACGTGGGCACTCATCATTCCAGTGGAATTGGAACTTTGCACTGACTCTGACGTTGCATCAGATCTGAAACAACGAACGGATTTAATTAAAATGGGGAATATGGAATAGAATGGAACAATGGGCAGTTGTGGTTGTGTGACGATACATCTTTTTGATTCACTGTATTGCTGTGAATTGTATCGTATAAATCAATATCTTGGCAGCGACCAGAGAGCTCGTAACAATCGACCGACTGGCTCACTAATCGAGACTATCCACGCATGTAAAGATGATTGGCACAATCAATGTATCCGTCTCGCCGGAGGCTCGAACACACACAATGAAACTGTTGAATTTACTGAATAAACTTTATTCCTGTCGACGATTGAAGTCAAGACCTCTTCGTCTGAGACATTAAGCTACTAAACCAAGGGGATTAGACAATAATTACTGAACTAATTTTCTCTCGTGCTCTCTAGGTTTGGGGAGATTTTCATCACGAGCTCACCCTCGACCCACGTTAATTTGTAGTAGGTTCGCAATCAGTTGCGATTTAGGCACTTGGCTTACCATAAGCCCTTACAGACATAAAAAGCCAACATATAAACGTTTAACGACCTAATGGGAATACCGACAATATTTTTCATATTTTCAAAGAATCGTTGTGTACATTTTAATTGACAATAAAACAATCGTAAAACAATTATGTACGTATTTTAACTCTCGCTTTTATCTTTCAAATACCATTGTACGAAAAGCGATAATCCTTTTGTTACGGATGCCTTATATTGATAGAATTCGCAATCTCTGCAGTAAAACTTGTCTCATTCCGAAAAAGTCTTATTGTTCTGTTTTTGTTATTGTATTCTGTTACTCTGCCATCAATTTTATATGTGAATTTCCTTCCCCAAAATAAGCAACTGTTCAACTTTATAGTTTTATAGTGCTAGGATTAATACTATGCTTTATGTTGTACTTATGAATATAGAATGTATGAGCAAACATATTTTCGACTAGGAAAAAGGACGTAAAATTTGTAGGAAAATATTTGCTTTTTATTTTACACTACAAATCTTCACGCCGTAGTGCACCAGACATTTAAGTAGGACTCGATGTTTAACATATTTTATGATATAGGTATTGCTTATAACGGCTGACGAGAGATTAACAAAGAATGCGGCTTAACCTTATCTGTCCCAAATATCACGCTATTATTTCAATATTGTGAACAAAAATCCCTAAACTCTAGAAATATATTTTTCGCGAAAATTTTCCTTACATGTTTACATAAAATGATCGTAATTGGAACATGTTGAATTACCTTAAATTGTAGTCACTGAACCGTGGTATATGTAAATCTCGTTCAGGTATGTTGCCCCTCGTGGTAGGCGGCTCGAAGTCAGCTCTGCGCCAGCCTCCCTCCATCGGCGGCGTCACAGAGCACTCCCTCTCCTCCCGCACCTCTCCCCTTAAATACCCTTCATATTCGTCCTCTGGGTCATGTGACGGCACATTCCTATAGTCACCCCTCTTACGAGCACTATCCGCAGCTATCACTCTTGGTACTTCAGCATTAGTTTTGAAATTAGCTTCTAATTTATCATAACTATCATCACGATGATTTGTCGTCACTATCTGTTCGTTCCATCTATCTAATTGTCTTTTCTTACGAGTCTCGTATACACACAGTCCTATTAAACACGAACTTAACACTATCACTGCTGACACCGCCATGCCCGCCATCAGCGCACGACCACCAAAACTTTTGGTATCTGGTTTCTTTTCTATTGCTAAACTTAGGATCACTTCGGCTTTACCTGCACGATTTTCGGCATTGCATGTGTATGAACCAGCATCTTGTAAGTCTGCCGATTTTATGGTTAAATTACTAGTTTGTCCTTCACTGCGTAACATAAAAGCTCTACCGGAATTGACATTACTAGAAGTGGTGTTGGCGAGCAGGCGGCCGGCTCGCACCCACCGCACTCTCGGCGCAGGCACTCCGCTCACTTTACAAACTAGCGTCACCTCGTCACCCTCCAACCCTTTAAAATGACTTGCTGCGCTCACTTCTGGATGGCATGCAAAGTCTTCTAGATCCAATCTATCCCATGACTGAGACATTAACCGCGGTGGCAATGCACATTCTGGTACTACTGTCGCTGGAACATTTTTTCGTATCATCCAATCTCGCAGAGGTCTCAACGCACAAGTACATTCCCAAGGATTGCTCGCCAGTTCTAACCCCTTTAAAGATCGCAGCGGCGCTAAGACCGCTACGTGAAGAACTTGCAGTCGATTTTTGCTAAGCTCCAAATATTCCAGAGAAGACTCGAGGCCTGCAAAGCCGCGGGGCTCTATTTCAGCTATCTTACAGGCACTGAGTGTGAGTCGCACAAGATGGGGTAGAGCTATAAATGATTCGTCTCCAACTTTCGTAATGGGATTACCACCGAGTCGCAGTTCTCTAAGCTCGGGGATTGAATCAAACGAATGAGAAGGTATTGTTTCAAGTCGGTTGCGAGAGAGATCCAATTCTACTAGGTTTACAAGAGCTCGGAAAGCGTACTGTCTGATGGTCCGTACGTTGCAAGAGGGGAGATAAAGGCGTTGTAGGTTAAGAAGGCCGGCAGCAGCAAAGGCGTCGTCTCGAACGATAGGCAAGCGGTTCTCGGCCAGGTCGAGCAGTTGCGTGGTTGGGTCGAGGCGCGGTGGGACGGAGGTGAGGCCGGCGCGGGCGCAGAGCGCAGACTCCTTGCCGCTGCGCCACTTACACTCGCAGTGGCGCGGGCAGTCGGCGGAGGCAGCCGCCACCAGCGCCAGCACCAGCAGCACCCACATGCCCTGCGCCTGCTCACCCAGCGCCGCGCCGTTCGTCTTCACCGCCCAGCGTCATCCCCCGAGCAAAGTGCACCCTGTGCAAAAACAATTGAAACGTTTATTATATTTATTTAAGAATTGTTGTTAATATGCATTATAATAAAATAGCTATATATATTTTATTAATTATAAAGAGTCACTATCTCTGTCCATGGCGACAGAGATAGCGATCCTTAAAATTCTTCACAATTTTAAAACTACTTATCAAATTAGATGTGTTTTAATAGAGTGATTAAGGAGGAAGACAACCTCTTGTATGTATAATAATATCCATTAAATAGAGGAGTAATTTTGTATCAGCGTTACTCCCGTGCAAAGCCGGGGTGGGTGGCTAGTAATACAATAATCTACTATCTCGTTTTGTCAGCTTAAATCTATATTTGTTCGTGATCTTTAGTTTCAAAATAAATAAATAATTTAATTCTTCGTCTAAGCTTTACGCCTACCCAGTGTGACCCAAATACAGGGCCTATAATGGTATTATTTATTAAGTAACATCGTACCCGTCAACAAAATATTATTATTAGATGCGCACTTAGGTATATTTTGCGGTTGGCTATAAAATGTATGTCGTTACAGCTTGACCGAAAAAGAAAAACTTGGGTTCGCTGCCCTGCGTTTTATGGAGGTTACTGTAGACTAGTAATATAAAGTAAAGACTATAGTTTCCTCTTCGACATTCCATTTGTTATTAACTATAGCACATAGTGGGTTCTAAAACCGCTCCACAACGCCATTAAGCAACGTTATGAACGTTGTAAACGAAAATGAAACCCACGTGTGTATGTATGTTGTAGAGAAGATATCGTGGTTGTGGTAGGAATCAGATCGAATGGAGCTCACCACAACTTTGTGAAGCTAAGCTCTTGTGCCAAATATTACTTTACAGCTTTGCGGTTGTTATGCAAATACTGATATCAGTTCGGGCACCTAAATACCGACATTGTTGTTCCACCCCCTTGTTATGGTTAAATAGAACTTCCAACTTAAATCGCGATGTTTCGTACAAACAATTCCAGGTAAGAATTATTGTTACACATTCAATATCTATTCTACATTTATCAGTTTATTCGCATTTATTGCTTTTTATATCTGCTTAATTATAAAACATTCATTGATATAGAAATAGACGTTTAAAATACTCGTAGGTCGGTTTTTATGAAGCGAACAAGGCCTATTTTGGTCCATTCAAATTATAATTTAGCATTTCGTGTATAATGGATACGAAAACCCTTGTTAAATATGAGGAGAGCAATAGACCTAAATTGCTTTCTCGCATTCAACCATAGCTAAAGGTACGTATTCATTATAGACAATATAGACCCCGCTTACTTACCTTAAAATAATTTGATGCCAATTCATAAAGAAGGGACAGGTACCGACAGAATCTCAGGTAGGATTACTAATCCTAATCAATCCTCTTTATTCTATTTTTAATCCAAAAATTGTATGTAATAAAATAATATTTTAATCGTAAAAGTTATGATATACTAGAGCCATCTCTCTAAGACCTATTGTAATCGTTATGGTTCTATAAGTTTGAAAGCGGGTCTAACTAAACATTTCTTATCACGGCACAGTATAAGACAGATAATTGTCGCTGCCCGTAAAGTACTCAACAATGAGTGTAAGGTCTTCAATCAATGAAACTAAAACTTCAAAATAATATATGCCATCTGCGTATGAGTCACGGAGCTAATTGTAAGATGTAGCAGTAGATGTAAAGAGTACTCATTATGTAAGGGAAGAGAGAATTTACAAAAAAAAATACTCAAACAAAGTCCTATTAAAAAACAAGACATCTTCCATGGCTGGCTCCAAATAAAATTACACTTTTCAATCATTAAATCAAGAGTGCTTTATGAGGAGGTACTTAAAAAGCGGACCCTACCATTAACGTTTCTTTATTTCGATCGCACGCCCCTTGCCGCTCCTTGGACACCGAACAAAAAAATGTACAAAGAAAAAGTGAGTATTGACTGAATGATGTACATTGCTATAGCAACCTAGTTTTAAATATCTATCAAGCCTTATCTGTCTATTGTATTCCAATAACTTACTCCTTTTCAAAGTATTAAAGTTTCATGTTAAACGGTTTATAATCTCTCCCAGAATATAATCAAACTGCAAGCTCTAGATTAACCCTTGCCAAAAGACTAACTATGTACTTGGAACTCAGCAGTAACGACTTTCTACATGACCTTAGTAAGAAACAAACTGAGTTGAAAATCGCGTGGAACTAAAATCGAACACACAATTCGCTACAATTCACCGTCTGAACTAGTAAATACGACGTCACAGCGCCCCCATATATCGGAGTTTAGACAATGCATAAAATCAACTGTCCTTCGCAAATCACTCCCCATTTGCATATGCCTTACTTGAACCCGTGCCACCGTCGACTGTACGGCACGCCTAATTGCACCGCAACAAATCTGCGGCGCTCTGTACCCACACAACTCTATGGCACCGACGTGTACACCTAATGGCTGCCACTCTGATCACGCAACACTCGCGTGTTTCCTTTGACTCAACATACCTCATATGCAATGTATGATTATTCGATTCCACGTGTTATAAGCCCTGCATGCCGCGGGGGTAATGTAGGACACGAGGTCGTATACTTGTACTCACACATACGCAGTGAAAGGGTTCAGTCACAACATTGTACTCATTTAAATAGCTATCAAGGGACTATTAATAAGCTGACGCCTACAAAAAAGTTGTTTGTTTTCACGTGTCCATTATTTAGTAGCGTTTTTAGATTACTACACAAATTTTCTGGAAGTGATTAGTTTCAACAAAACTGTACCCAGATAAATGTTCCGAGGATTTACGTCCAATAATTAAATTGCAGTTCGAAGCTAGTTCACAATTTAATCCTTTATACTCGCTAACGCTGAGCTGAACCTGCCCTCTGACGCAGTACTTGATTTATGGTTAAAATACATTTATTTGAAATCTATTTCCCGATAATCCTAGTAAAGCCTGTAGACTGCCGATGTACCTACATTACACATTGTCGTACTTTTGACGTTTCCCCAAACAAAAAGTTCGACCTTTCTAATAAAAGGGCCGGCGTTTTGATACATACCACCCCTTACCGATTCATCCCTAAGTCCACAAAACTCTGTGAATAATTTAAAATCAATTGGATTGCTCCAATAATCCGGAACTTTCCCGTGAAAAATGTTGTATTCCACGGACTCCGGGAAAAGGGAACCTTGGCAACTAATTCAATAATTTTACACGTAATAACACTGAATACTTTCAATTCGTGAGGTAACTTCTCGCTCTACCTTTCTGGAAGTAAAGCGTCTCAATTATTTACGACTAGTCGTGTCGCCTTCTGAATCCTCTTAGGAAAAGTAAACGCCTTTTATTGTGCTTTCTTTAGTGAAATGTTGAAATTAATTTGCATTGTAACTAAACGAGGCGGCCCGTGGGAGACTCCGACTACTTGAACTTATTATAACGTTTGATAGTTTAGTTCTTATTTAGGTTTATTTGAATCGCTGTTTCTCTACTTAGAATTAACCTACAACTAGTTACCATGGCAATTGTATGATTGTATAATATTATCTATATAAATTTACAAGGCCCAACGCTATTAAAAATAGTAAGGACGGAGTTATCTTTACGACTTGTTGTAATAAATGTTTGTTATTTTATAGCGTAAGGTCTTTCCAAATTGAAACAATAAATCTTTGTTATAAGCTATAATAAATAGTCCAACAAAATAATATCGAGGCGATTTTATTTATGCGGTAACCAGGCTGGGTATGGCCCTAATATCCTTATAGGTGTATCCAACGTTTTCACATGTTTATTTATTTATATAAGTGTATCTGCCGGTACGAGGGCCGTGCCCGATCAGCGCTAGCAAGGCATATCGTAAGATAAAGTCATTTCATATAAGTTCGTGACCTTATTTTGTGTAATATATGTGCGTACAAACATTTTAGGGCAAAATTCTTTGTAGGCATAACTGAAACAAACCGACAGGCGGATGACGACGGACTTTATCTGTTAAGGAACGGACAAAGAATACTAATACTTCGCAACACTTAGAAAACTGATCGAGTGGGTTTTGAAAGTTAGGAAAGGAAACAGCTTCAGCTTTGAGCAGTCCACTGAACAAATACACTGAATGTCAACGTTTGTCGAAACTTTTTAGAGCCAATGTTGTGTTCGTGTGTCTTCACCTTCGACATTTAGCACTAAATGTTTAGATAACAGTGATGTGAATATAGATGCTACCGCATTCGGTAATTTAATAAACCCAACAACTACACCCAAATTTTGGCAACGCATCTGTTACTCCTCTGGTGTTGTGTCCATGAGCGGCGCCGATCGCTTACTATCAGGTAATCCGTCGGCTCGTTTGCCTCCTATACAATAAAAAAACAATATTAAACCCTCTATTTAAGCGGCGTTAAGCAGAGATAAACTCACAAATTTTATTTATTGGCATTCATTTTTGTTATATGTATGCTTACGTAGGTACCTAGTATTGGAAGAAATCATAATAAGCTGTTATAAGCACAGCTGATTGAAATATCTATTGCTCAGAAAATGGAACACGTCAGAACAATGTAACTAACAATGGAACTAGGACGATAGTTACTACCTACACTTAATATTTCTATTAAGCAGCATAAATCAACATAAAAAATGTAAGTCCTTTAAATACCTACTTGCTTTTATTATGGGATAAGTCGGCAAACGAGTAGACGGATTACCTGATGGTAAGCAATCGGCGCCTCCTATGGACACCCGCAGCATCAAAGGAGTTACGAGTGCATTGCCGGCCTTTTGGGGATAAGGGTTGCGAATATTTAAGGATTGGAAGATAGAAGGGCAGGAATTGGGCCTCCGGTAACCTCACTCACACGGCGAAACACAACGCTGCATCCTACGTACATTAAAATTACTACTAACATCTTTATATGACATAGTGA